AGGCGTCAAAAGTGAGGTTGAATGCGTACGTGTCGTACTTACCCCACGTGTTCAATGACGAAAAGCTGTCATTAGAAGTGCTCTTGAAGGCAGATCCGTCGACTTCAATGTCGAGCAGGCCATTCTTGATCGTCAGGTTTCCCTGCAGCGGCGCGAGGCCACCCGTGAGCCAGTAGTTGCTGGTGTGTTCGAGATCCAGGATTGAAGACTGGAAGACACTCTGACCGGTACCGGTTGGCACTTGCTGTGACATAATTGCATACTGGTGGTCATTGGAAGCTGTGACGAAAGATGCGGCCCAGTAGGAGTTTGTTTGTTCAGAGGCCAATTGAGACTCCTGGAAAGAGTAGAGAGTTGGCAAGTTCGACTAGATGGACTGTGTCTTAGCACTCATTTCTTTATTTCTTGTTGCATTAGATGTATTTCTGGGCATCCTAAAAGGACGGCTCTTACCCCGAGACTGTCTATACCTGTGGTATCGGGTACGATGTCGAACCTCACGGCGGAGGTAGCTCCGAGCAATAGTGCCCAGTAGCCGCTGCTAAGACGTCCCATTTTGCAACCGTTCTGAGGTCAAGGAGAAAGAGTGTAAGAGCCTCAGATGAAGGCGGTGAAGCTACCTGAAGTTGGTTGGGTAGTGAGGAGTGGTAAAGTGAAGGAAATCATTGAGAAAGAAGAGACTTTTATACCAAGTAAGGTAAGAGTGAATACTTCGGACTTCTCAACTCTTAGTCTGGAAAGTGAATTGAGAGTTGAAAGTGCCAAGTAGTTTGATAAACTCTGGTTAAATTCTTTGACAGGGCTACATAGATTCATGACTTACAACCTCTATCCACAATCCAACATGGGCTTGTCGTCTTTCCATTGACAATAGGGTCATAGGGACCAGTTTGTTACGGAGGCCGGATTTCAAACTCGATCCAACTCCCTTGATACGGCGATTTTGAAGCATGCTTGATGTTTTTCATGAAGTAAACCCTGATATGCGAGTGCGATCAACGTAAAAATACGAGAGACGGGCCTTTCCACTGGGGACGGAAACCCGTCGGACTACATCCCGTTTCCCCCATCGACAGAAGCCGGAATCCTGAATCGGGCCCCCAAATGTACCGACCGCCGAGCTCGATGCCGTGTCTCTCCGATTGCTAGTGGCAATAGGCCATGAAGACGGTGTCGGCACTTGTGTATGAACCGTGAAGGGAATTGCGTGCCAATCTACCATGTACATAGCCACCCAAGCCACCCTCGTTTACAAACATCAGCCCGATGTTACTTAGACGCGTAAACTTCAAAAAATTCCCGCTAAATTGTTTGATTATGTATATTATATTACAGTAGTTGACGGATTGCTCTCTGTCGTCAGAGCTGTACCTAACCATAAGGGCAAGACAGAACAGTTCACTGAGCCACGGTGTAGTCGAAGAATCTCATGCACAGCGTCCCAAGTTCGCCATGTTCCTCCAGTCCGAACTGCAGTCTTGATGGCCGAGCTACATGCTATAGCCCGAGCTCTGATCAAGTTTTGGACGAAGTTCATCCGTAGAAGTAAAGCATTGTTCGACAAGTTTCGGTGGCAACCAGTGGGAAAGACTTCCCAAAGCAGACTTGGTTTCCCGAAGGTTGTGGGGCTTCCCGTCGATCTGAGAAGCGCTCCCGGAACTTTGACCTGGAACACCCCTTTAGAAGCCCCTATCAAAATGAGAACTCAATGACTAGTTACCCCGGATTATTCCAGCTGGGACGAATGCCATCCTTGGACGTGATTTCCCGTGAACACGTTGATGAAGGCCTCCCAGGGCCCCGAATCCCGCTCAGACATTTTGATGGCACTTGTTCCTGTGAGGCGCGTCAATCGGAAAATCCCTAGAGCCCAGAGGACATTTCCAACAGCTGGGCAGAATCCAGAATCTCTGCGGACTTAAGGGCCCAAGGAGTTCGCGACGACGCCGACATTGTACGTGACGTTGCAAGTGGTGGAACTTGCTCCATCGAAATGTCCAAAAACGGTAATTCGGTATCGAGCCACTTACATCGGGACTGTGTTGAAATACCAACGATGATGCGAGTGAGGTTTCCCAAATCTGAGCATTCAGAGATCACAGACATTCTAGCACAGCTCTTTTGATACATTTTATTTAAAAGCACTTCACTTTAATTACCATGACTGATCAACCCTTTAAAGTCATCGTCGTTGGCGGCGGACCGAGTGGCATCACGGCGGCACACGTGTTGCAGCAGGCTGGCATCGACTTTGTCGTTCTTGAGAGGAGAGATAGCATTGTCGATGATGTTGGCGCCAGCTTGGTCCTCAGTCCTGGCTCCTTGCGTGTGTTCCATCAACTTGGGATCCTCGAAAATCTCATGGAAATTGGCAACACGCTGTCATCAGGCACAGGATTTACCTCCGACGGCCACAAGTTCAAGCAAAACCTGATTGGCGACTACATGATGAAGAAGTAAGTAGTCAACTACTGCTCGTTCTCAATGCGTAGAAATCCCATGCTAACAACTGCTGCTTACAGTCACGGTGCAGGCCTCACCACATTCCACCGTGCCCACCTGATCCAGGTCCTCTACGACACCCTCCCCGAATCAGCAAGAGCGCGCTACTTCACCGGAAAGAAGCTCGCAAACATCGAGTCGACCGAGAAGGGCGTCATGGTGACCTGCCAAGACGGCTCAACGTACTCTGGAAACATGATCATCGGCGCCGACGGCGTCCACTCCGCCACCAGACGTCAAATGCGCAAGCTCGCCCTCGCTGAGGACCCCAACCGCGACTGGGATCCGATCAACCCGTACAAGATCCAGTACCAGTGCCTGTGGGCATCGTTCCCGCGACCCACCGACGCCGGTCAAGGGTGCGAGACGCAGAGCAAGGACAAGTCCATCATGTACCTCACCGGCAAGGAGAGGGGCTGGATCTTCCTCTACGAGAAGCTTACAGATCCCATCCCCGAGAGGATCTCCTTCACGCCCGAGCAGCTCGAGGAGTACGCCGAGCGGTTCGCCGACTGGCCCGTCGCGGAGAACATCACGGTCAAGGACGTCTTCAAGGAGCGGTACAGCGCGGGCGGCGCCGGTCTCGAGGAGGGCATCTGCAAGAACTGGAGCTGGGGAGGGCGCATCGTGCTCGTCGGCGACGCCGTGCACAAGTTCACCCCCAACGCCGGCCTGGGCTTCAACAACGGCCTCCAGGACGTCGTCGCCGTGTGCAACCGGCTGCAGAAGCTCACGACCAACGGCAACAGCCCTTCTCCCGACGACCTGCAGAAGCTCTTTGACAGCTATCGCGAGGAGAGACACGTTCTTCTGGAGAAGGACTTGGATGCGTCGGCGCGGTTGACGAGGTCGCAGGCCTGGGCGTCGACGTTTGACTGGATCATGGCGAGATACGTCATGGCCTTTTCGTTCGTGCAGAAGATCTTCTTCACGCTCAACATGTCTCCGTCCATTCAGAAGGCGAAAGTGTTGGACTTTGTACCGGCCAAGGAGGTTTTCAACGGCAGATACAAGTGGTTGACCCCTTTCCCGAGCGAGAAGTAGTTTGAGGCGTTGCGCCCGTTTTCTTTTTTTTCGCTGGATATTTTGTTTCAGCTTATTAGAGCATGTTCATTTGAGCGTGAAGCCGGAGTTGGATACACAGATGGGAACGACTAAAATTTGTACGAATAGCCGCGATAGAGAATGTGATTTTCCCCCTCAAGCTCTGCATTGTCATCTATGACTTATATGGACAGCGTTACCACTTCAGAGTTGCTAGCCATTGAGCCAAAGCTCGCTGAATCAAGCTTCCTTTCACCGTGCCTTGGTAGTATTTCAGCAAACATGTGGGAGGCAATGACTTACAGAACAGAGTCATGGAACTCGAGGGTAAATGCATCACACTTGCTATTCTCTTCTGACAGACGTTCATTCAAGGCCAGGACTCGGATCTATGCCTAGACTAGTGACGTACGGAAGGAAGCGAAACTCTAATTGATTACTGAGGGTATGAAAGTCGGCAGTTGTTAGAATACCACGCCAAGAAACCGGACAAAAGTTTACCTTCTGAGGCTCTGCTATTAGTTAACATTGTAAAGAAGGGAAAATATCAGACAGAATTGCAGGTTAATTCGACATGTTGGGGGTCAGACCTGTCGCCTTTTACGGTTGGAAGCCGAAAGCTCAGGAGCAGTTTGTGAAGTTGGGCCCGAAGGCTCGATACAAGCAAGGACGGGATCGTCGCAGTTCCTCGCTCCGTCCACAGTCCGTAATAACCCGTGATGGAGGTCAAAGACCAAAGGAAGGACACTATTTCCCTGATCTTTCGGACGGAGTCACGGACCCCGAAGGCGGGCGCGACAGTCGGCGAACCTTGGCTCCACATCGGAGACGGCGGCCCGGCGGATACCCTGCCTCCTTTCGGTAAGAAATTCCACACACCTGGAGCGGAAACTCTACCATATCGCCATGCCCATCGATACGTGTAGTCTTTGAGTGACTGATAATGAGTTGCCGTCGTTTGCTCAAGTTTGATTGACCTTGATGGTTGCACACTCCTACAGGCTCTCACAGACTCACGCTACGTTTCCACTCATCTCCGTCTCTGGTTTCCAGGCGCATACTTATGCCCATCTCAACATCATGTGACCGTCCTACGGGAGCTGTCGCTGCGGCAACATCAAGATATCATTCAAAGGAGACCCCATAACTACAGTCCGTCAACACCCGACATACCACGTTCTCCGTGGGACTTGCACACCGTCAATAGACCCCGAACCCAGGCCGCCTGCCGCCAAGTATCCGGCAGTGCCTTCGGTGTAAGTGTCTTGGTCCCAGCCGCAGCCTTCGCGTGCGATATGGTCACGCCGACGAACTACGTCAGCACGTCTGACAGCGGCAACGAGGTCGTCAACCACTTTTGCGGGACCTGCGGCGTAACGCTCTAGGCTGACGGGACGTCTTCCCCGTTCCAATTCATCAAGGCCGGTGTTTTCGATGATCTTGCCGCACTGGACATGTCGAAGCCCGCTGCCAAAATATATACCTGTCGACGTGCCTGGTGGTGTTCGGCTTCGAAGGTAGCGCAGCAAAAGGAGAAGATGTAGGACACGGATGGCACAGCGGGAGGGAGGAGGGGCTCTTTATCAGTGAATTTGGCTACTATACCCAGTAACTTCATTAGTTTATTTATACAGAGTACACATGAGGAACGGAATCAACGGAGGTCTCTTCCACGAGTGATCCACTTGCCGATCTGTGAGGGTCTGTCGGCCCGCGCCGATGGGATCCCGCGCGGTTGGGCAGATGCGCGGGCAAGCTAACAAACCTCGCATGCAGCCCAGGAAACTCGTTGGTCCATCGTATGCAGTCCCGACTTAAGGAAGGCATATCGAGTTCGCCTCAAGTCCTCTTACCTTCTCAGCCATGGCATATTCCTTGCTTCGATGATGCTCTCTGGCAATGGTTTCTACGACCGGCTGAGGCAAATTTTCCCCAACCAACAGCTTGACTTCATCCTTGAAGAGCCCCGTGTCGCCCGGAGAGAGAGCATGCAACCGAGTTGATTTGAACTAGAATAGAAAGAATCAATGTGTGAGAGACCCGAAGCTGGAGTTCCCCTTATCATGGCGATCACCTCCAACTCCTCGAAAAGTGACCCTCCCACATCAATCGGCCGACCTGAGTATTACACATCATAAGGCTTGGGACGCTTCCCATCGCCGTGGAGGTCGAGCAACCCCTCCCAAAGACAACGAGAATTGGTAATCATGTCTTTCGATGGCGTAACATTTATATACGATTTTACGGAATGCCAGAGCTACTGAACCACAGAGGACAAGGTATCAGATGCTCAAAGTTCTTAGAAATCAGGAACTTGGACAGCCTTACCTCGAAAGTCATTCGTAGCTTCGCTTGTGCCTTGACAAAATCCCATCGCCAACCCCGACTTCGAATCTGATCCCGTTGCCCCAATGCCTCCATTCGTCTTCACAGCCTCAAAAACAGCCCTTATCACCGGAAGCGCATCAGGCATCGGCCTCGCCGTCGCCCAAAAATGCCTCGACCACGGCATGAAGGCCCTCATCGTCGACAACAACGACGGCTTCCTGGCCTTGGCACAATGTAGCTTGGGAGAAGACAAGGTCTTAACCGCCAAAGCAGACGTCAGCAATCTCAAGGACTGGGCTCATCTCAAGAAACGTGTCGACAGCGATTTTCAGGGTAGGATATTTGCCTCGCTCGATGTGACCCTTGCGCCCTAGGACACAGACATCCTAACAAACCTCGCCAAGCCGCATCGACTTCCTCTTCCTCAACGCCGGGGTCCAGCCTTCCTCAACCTGGGACGACCCCTCGACCTTTCAAACAATCTTGAACGCAAACCTCCTTGGCGTCATCAACGGCATCGCAACCTTCAAATCCGCCGTCTCATCGTCCTCCTCTTCTTCTTCCACCACCGCCATCGTGATCACCGGCTCAAAACAAGGCATCACAAACCCACCCGGCAACCCAGCCTACAACGCTAGCAAATCCGCCGTCAAAACCATCGCCGAACACCTCTCCTACGACCTCCGCGAATCCTCTCCCAGCACCAGCGTTTTTCTCCTCGTGCCCGGATGGACGTTTACCAGTCTTGGACGCGAAGCCAGCTGAGTGTCCCAGATACGCGATGTAATATCTCATCAATTTCTTAGATTTGAATAATCTAGTCTAGTATGTCTTTTGTAGTACTCATGCAGAGAACAGCTTGTGCCACTTCTTTTTGACAGCCGCGTGCCCGTGTACACGACGCGTTAAGCCTCTCTTAGTACCAAAAACTCGCTGGACTCCGCTCCTCTTTAGAATTTCAATTTTGAATAAAGGCATGTATTATCCAGAAGATGAGTAAGATAGCGGGAATATGGACTAGTTCCATTTCGGTACGATGTGAGTTTCCATGGTAGTCTCATACCCTAGGGTATATTGAAGGATAAACCACCTCGAAGCAACCTCACTGTCGGTTGCATCACATTTCACTCCCTCCACTTCAAAGAACGTTGCCTACCACTTCAAGTCAGCGAAGAAATGATAAGAAAAGTCCTCTCTTCTGTACCCACATGGTTCCAAGTACGACCCCAAAAGTCCCATCGCGGCCTTCCCCTTCTTCACACTGATTTAGGCTGCTCGCAAACTTGCGACCCTCAACTTCGGGACGCGTCGCCTCATCTCGAGCCTTCTGTTCGGGGCCATACTTGAAATGACGTAGCAGGGCATTCACCATGCCGGCCTCCTGCATCATTGAGGTGCGTGTTTTCCTTTCTCCCTGGAACACCTGAAGCGCAAGGCCGAGCTGTTCACGATTCTGACTCCAAACACCCATCATGAACTCCCTCTCACATGCTAGACATCACATACGACCATACCCATTGGAAAACTCGGGATCCCGTCCGCTCTCCCATAGATAAGCCAATGAGGGCCGGATTAGTAGTTGGGTCGGTGACGACCAGCGAATACCTGGTGTTGTATGTCTTTTTTCGCTTTTCGTTTTCTCTCCCGTCCTCAATTTTGCTCTTAAAATCCCACGATATCCACTTCTGATGTTGGCTTTTTGGAGTGGTTGTCGCTTTCGACGAATCAAAAGTAAGCGCCAGTCTGTGTTTGGCTATTGGTCGGGGAGACTTGCGACCTATTGGATTGGATCGGATGGCCGGCCACTTTTGCCATGAGATTGCACGTGCAAGAAAGCTGACATGCACAAGCAGGGAATAAGGTAAGAATGACTTGCTCCCTCCCCCCCAAAAGTCTAAATTCCCGCTTGCCTTTCGGTGGACTTGCGTCATGAACGGCGGTCCCACCACCACCCCAAATGACATTATGACCTTGACTCGGGGATGGGGGACCTCTTCGATCCGGTTTGGTCACTTACACAGAAATGACGATAGTACTCCGTAGTCAGAATACCTCTTGACATCATGTATCACAGTCATGCAGGACGCAAAATGTTGGACAGCACAAAGGTTGGTATGATTGATGCAGTATATGCCTGTGTACATGTGTATTCTCCATGACCCTTTTTTGTCGGGCAGTGGGAGACTCTCCTTGCGACTCCTACTTTTTGGGGGATGGTTGGTGTTCTTCGTACAATCGGAGTGGAAACAGAAATTCGGGATGGGAGGCTAACACCACCACAACACCACAAATCTGAAGCTGGTAAAAAGAGAGAGTAGATATGCGCGTCAATTCGATGCGGGTGTATGTGTGTGTGTGTGGTCCAAAGGTATCATGACGCTCGCGGCCGGGACAAACCACGTAAACAAAACAAAGTGAAAAAAAGGAATCTTTCCCCTCCCATTGTCCCCTTTGGGTGAAAAACAAACCAGCATCCCGTCTATTCCAAAATGCCAAACTCCAAGATTCGCCAGGTTTGGAGGGGCTTCTTCTCATCCTTGACTGGTGAGGACCCCCAAACTCCACATTATGACGGCTTGCCCTTGTTCCGCCGTCCTCAACTCCGTTCGACCAGGCTTCTTCTGATGCTTCTTCGGGGGTATGGTACCGTTTTCTCCTGCCCAGCAAGATTTCAAATTTTCAAACATCATTGTGCGCTCTGAGACCTCGACCGGTTGCCGCGTAGATTGCTGGATCGCGGAGTGCTATTCCCCTCCCGCCCCGCGCCGGCTCTCACCGCATCGGTGTAGCTAGGTATCGGTGGGTGCGATGGTCCGGCCGCAGCGGCTGCCGAGGCGCCTCGACTCCGATTAAGAACGCGGATCAACGGCGTATTTTCGCTGTCTGTGCTGTTCCGACGACTGCCGGCCTCCGAGTGGTCGGGGCTCGTATACTCGGGTGGCGGGTTCAAGGCGTCTTGAAGCCCAAGCCCTACGACGCTTTGCCCTTCGTGCCCGCGATTGATGCTGCTGCTTGGCTCGCCGCCCTCATCGTCGGACACAAAGTGCGTCAGGGAGATGTCAGTCGGGCTTCTTACGGGACCGGGGCTCCTCGGTGGAAGTACTCTGAAGTTTCCGCTTCTCGTCCGCCCATGTTGAGGTCCCAAGCCACTTTGCGAGTAGGACTGTGTCTGAGAGTGGCCCCGCTGCTGCTGTCCGCCGCCGCCGCCGCTGGTGCCTGTGTATCCGTCCTTGCGTCCAGCTTCGAGCAGGATATCGCCCTGTTCGGAGCCATACGGTGGCGGCGGTGCCAGGCTGCCCGTCATGGGGGCAAGACCCCATTTCTTCACGTTGGCCTCGATGAAGACGAAGCCGGCCTGGCCAAAGTTGACGTGGACGATGCAGGGCCCGTTGGCACCGATGGCAGGGAAGAAATTTTGCGACTTTACACCGTGAACGGCATCTTCCAGCTTCTTACCATTGCGGGTGAAGAAAATGGTGCCCGTTCGGGGACGATAACCAACACCGATAACATCGCCCTGAACGAACTGAGGTCCGTAGGGGGTTGCGGCAAATGGCTGGTTGCAACGGCGCTGGCCTGCTGACAGGTATGCTACGGAATGTTTGTGGAAGCCTGGACGGTTAGCGTCATGCGGTTGCAGCGAGGGGCTGGAATGCCATATACCTGGTAGTCTGAACAACGGGTACGGTTTGGTAGCCATGCCGATGCTGAGGAGGGTATTTTCGGGCTTATCGTAGATCTTGGCTTCCCAGTAGTAGACCTCGTTTTGCTTGGGCACAGGCAAGTTGCTCATGACGGTGCATTCAGAGTCGAAGAACTCAATCTCGGTGCGGCCTTCGACGAAACAGTTTGCGATTTCCAGCTCGGGTTCAAATTCCCAAGCAGAAACACCCTTTTCTTGAATGGCGAGGTATTGCGATAGAGAAATGTCGGTTTGAACGGATTCGGGGGGGTTCGCTTGGATGAATGCTACAACGGGAGTTTGGTTAGTCGTGTGCGGATATCGCGGTAAGGACAATACGAAGGTTGCCTACCTTTTGCCCTGAGGTACTCGGTCTTCTGCATATCGTCCATAGACTCGAGAGCCTCGGCCTCCTCCCGGGCAAAAGCCTGCTCATCGTCATATTCGCCTGGTCGGCCGATGCGATCGAGAAAGATGCGACCACTGGCCGTGTATCTGAAGAAGTAGATGACGAGGAAGATGAGAGCGATAAGGACGGCGGAACCAAAGGATGATAGCAATCCAATGACAACGCCGTTCAGCGCCGATGATGGAGCTGAGGGTGCCATTGTGGGCAGGCGACGACGTTTGTCGATGGAATCCGGTCAATCGGTCGGCTGTCGTTCGTGGGGCGGTGGTGGTGGACTCGTGAGTAGAGAGGTGGTGAGGTAGGATGGATCGGTCGAGAGGAGGGACGGCTGGCGTCACCGCCGCGAAAGCAGCATTCGCGGGCGAATCGACACTCGTGAAGCAAGCGATGAGAAGGAGAAAGGCGACAGGCGAAATAAACTAGACACGGCAAAAAGAATAAAGGAAGGTCGTCGTCGACGGACGGTGCGAAGAGAGAGAGAGAGATTGGCTGGGATTGAATGAGATGCGAAAGAGTTGGTTGTTGGTTTGGGACAAGTTGGGTTCGCGTGGGCGGGCGGCGTAGGCGTGAGCGTAAGGTGAGGGTACGGTAGGCGTACGGGGTGCTGTGGGTAGGCACGCAGGTAAGGCACGGTAGCGTCGGTCGGCAAGGTCAGACGAGCGTTGTCGTCGTCTTTGGAGTGAGGTACCTGGAGGTGAGGTAGCAGCGCAAGTACTGCGTAGGTAGGTAGGCGGTTGTGCTGTGCTGCGCTGTGCACCGCTACGACGGTGGAAGAGCAGTGAGCAGGGCGAATGGTTGCGTTGCCACAGTTCTCCGACTGACCCAAGTCGCAGGTCGATGGGGCATGGGCTGCTCTTGTTTGTGGCGGGTCCCCTCTCTCACTCTCACTCTCAGTCTCTCTCTCTCTATCAGCTGGGCGTGGGACGCAGACACCTTGGGTAAAGGTACTTTAATGTAGGTAAGCAGGTAACCTAAGGTAAGGTTATGTAGGCGGCAGCGGCGCAAAGGGAGTCGGCCGGGTTCTCTGCTGCCCGGGCTACCCAAGGGCGATGGATGACTACCGTAACTAGGCACCTTTTACTATCGAATAGCAAGGTACTTTAGTTAAGGCAAGGCAAGGTAGATAGATAGGCCCCGTTCACGTAGGGAGAATGGACCGGGGGATCAAGTATCCGAACGATACCTTGGAAAGCCTAGAGGCAGCGTAAGGTAGGGAGAGATCAAATGGGAGAGAGGAGTCCAGTTCAGAGTTGGGATGGAAAAAGAGGGGGACGAGGGAAAAAAAGAATAAAAATAAAAGCAAGGTGTGAGCAAAGGGCTGCACACGCAATCCGGTGGTTTGGTACCAAGTATGGGTAATGCGTACGTATCCCTCGTTGCGTGTGTGGTGTCTCGAGGTAAGTTTCTTTCTGAAAAGCAGGTCAAGGTAGATTCAAGCTGGACCGTGGACAACCAGGTCTAGAGGGCCATAACAAATCAAGCGAGGGCTCGAATGTCAAGAGTTGACTTGTGTCTAACATCAAGTGAGGAGAAAAGAAGAAAAAGATAAGGATGGAACGCCGAGATGTCTACATCTACATCTTCATCTACATCTACATCTACTGTGTACGTACCGATAGCCATTGGCCAGGACTGCCTGCTCCGGGAAGAGGTCACTCGCAACTGGTACCGCCCGGAACTGCAGGGCGAGGAAGACGGGGTCACTGAAAAGTAACAGCACCAAGAAAAAAAGGTGCATCCGTACGGGAGACGACGGCACAAGGCGCAGCTGGACAGGGTACAAGCGGGTCAGGAGCCACAGTACGCGGGACATGTCCGGATCTTGTTAGAGATGCGCTACCGTTTTCATTGCTGCTTGGTGCTCAAGCGCTAACAGGTGGCGGGGGCAAGATTCGTACTGCAGAGTCGCCGCTCTCAGTCAGGTCCCTCAGAACCAAGGTACCCAGGCAGGTAGATGACGCTGACTGACGGGTCCCAGCTCCATTCCCCGTCCAGCATCTCCCATCTCCGTCTCCTCCCATCTGGAAATCTTGCCATCTTCGGTACCTGGTCGTCCTATGACCCACCCGCCAACTGTTGTGTACCTGCGCCGCAAAGTGGGCTAACAAGAGCCTTGGACGTCTGTCACTCACTCACTCACTCAGTCATCCAAGGTATCCATAACCTTCTATTCCAACTTCCAAGGTTCTTCAGGAACAGATACGTATCGTTATTCGTACGGACAACGCACGTGCTCTGAGCGGGCGGAGGTTTGGAGGATCAAAGACGCACAACACCCCCGAAGGGCCCGATGAATCTG